TTTCTGCTGTGGAATTGCCCAACTTAGTATATCATGGCCATAACTTAGCATCTCGTGGCCATAACTTAGCATCTTGTGATCATAACTTAGCATCTCGTGATCATAACTTAGCATCTTGTGATCATAACTTAGCATCTTGTGATCATAGCTTAGCATCTCGTGATCATAACTTAGCATCTCGTGATCATAACTTAGCATCTTGTGATCATAACTTAGCATCTTGTGATCAAAGCTTAGCATCTCGTGATCATAACTTAGCATCTTGTGATCATAGCTTAGCATCTCGTGATCATAACTTAGCATCGCGTGATCATAGCTTAGCATCTCGTGATCATAACTTAGCATCGCGTGATCATAACTTAGCATCTTGTGATCATAACTTAGCATCTCGTGATCATAACTTAGCATCGTGTGATCATAGCTTAGCATCTCGTGATCATAACTTAGCATCGCGTGATCATAACTTAGCATCGCGTGATCATAACTTAGCATATCATGGCCACGACTTAGCATCACGTGACCACGATTTAGCATCACGTGGCCACGACTTAGCATCACGTGGCCACGATTTAGCATCACATTGCCACGACTTAGCATATCATGGCAACAATTTAGAATCTCATGGCCTTTACTTAGCATCTCGTGGCAATAACTTAGCATCTCGTGGCAATAACTTAGCATCGCATGGCCACGACTTAGCATCTCGTGATCATAACTTAGCATATCATGACCATAACATAAAAACTGAAATCTCTATTGTGTTAACAAATTTTTATGTGTATTTCCAAAGTCATTGGCATCTACTCGAAAAATGTTCATTCAAAACAAGTCAAATTCGAAATTGACTGAGATCTCACCAATATATGTATGCATACTAAGTTTCATTAAGATATGATAAAAACTGTAGTCTCTATCGTACCTACAAGTGTGTAGATCGTATAAAATATGTAGCCCCTTTCCTGTTTACAAGAAATGTGAACACACCTTTGATTAACGAAGGTTTAGATTCAGCACAGAAACAAAGAGAGATATGATTGTTACTATAGCAGACGACACTACTGAGGTGGATAGCAGGTAATATACTGAAGTGGATAGCAGACGACACTATACTACAGTGGAAGTACAGTAAACAACACAGATATGGCCTACTTGAAAGATATATAGTGACATAACTTCACCATTTATATGAAATACTATACTTATATTTGTCACAAAATATTCACAACTTCTGAACAGAAAAAGAAAAAAAGGCTATATTTGATATCGTCATTAAAACTATGCTTCAAGTAATAAAGAAATTGATCCATAAAATTGGAAACTGCTATAAAATTTAAATTGCCACAGAAAAACGTATCCCAGTTAATTTCTCAGGTATTTTAAATATAATTTCCAGGCATTTTAAATATAAATTTCCAGGCATTTTAAATATAATATCGCAGGCACTTTAAATATAATTTCACAGGCATTTTAAATATGATTTTTCAGGGATTTTAAATATAATTTCACAGGCATTTTAAATATGATATCCCAGGCATTTTAAATATAATTTTTCAGGGATGTTAAATATAATTTCTCAGGGATTTGTTAAGAAATAAAAGTGTTATCAATAGGATGACGTCACTTACGGTTTCTAAATACTTTTGTTAAATTTTATCTTCCTTGTAGAATGACTGTGANACTCAACAAATCANACAACTATAGTCTTGTGTCTCATCATCAACAGTAATTAATATCTGAACGGAAAGTTGAGATCTG